TCTGTGTAATTCTACCTGTCTTCATCTCTCGTATTCTTCTCCTCATCTTCAACCCCCACTTAGTCTCTTGGACCTGTGTTTTGTCTTCTCTCAGGTGAGCTACTGCATGCAACTGTGCTTCCTTCTCTCCTGCTTAAATGATGTTTCCAAATGCAGATTTGAATTTATCTCTTAAAACTTAAATCCTCACTGTCACCACCCTTCTACCTGCCTTTGACTTTTTGATATGCTTGCTGTCTTTCCAATGTATCTTTGGTCCTTCTGCTGTTAAGATCTTGAGTACAAATGAATTGAACTGTCACACCTTGTCTTTGTCGCAGTTCTTTTTCTTGCCTTGAATTTCCATGTCTCTTTCTTTGCCAGTTGAACTTCCTTGTTTTCTATAAAGTCAACCTGAGTCTCCTTAAAAGCCCTCATTTACCTATCCAAGATAATTGAAGTACTTTTCTCCTTTATATATTGATTTATCTAGCAAATCACTATATCAATAGTGACATAACATAGAAAACGCTACTTTAAAAAGGTCAACTTTAGAACTGTCATTGTGAAATGAAGGTACTTGGCCAGAGCCACTTTTATTTATCTTCAGATATCTGAGTCCATAAGAGTAGAATACTTTTAGTAATTCAGCAATCTGTAGAGTGATGCACATTTTTTCTAGTTTGTGTTCATTGCTTTTTTGTGTGCTTATTCTGGGGAGTTTTATTAACATCATAATTTAGTTACAAAGTCATAATGAGAGTTGTAAATAATGTATAATTGAGATAAAAGTGCTACTTAAATTATGTAAATATGCATATTGGTTGTGTGTATGATGTCTGTGTAAATTTATGAACAGGCCTTTGTAATCTAATCTTATCATAAATAGAAGAGTTCTATATTGTAATGCTTAGTTTTTACTCAAGCAGTCTTTCAATTCCTGAGACAGAACTGTGTCTTGTTGAATTCCTCACAACTTTCACAGTGTTTAGCACATGGGGAATGTTCACCAAATCTATGTTGAGTAAATATTTTGTGTAAAAATACAAGAGACATTTATTATCACATTATAGCTTGGAGATGTGTGTGTATATTGTGTAAATACAGAAGGACTGTGGGTTAAGGTATAGGTATATCAGGATTAGAGGTGTTAAATAAGAACCATACTTGATTCTCATTAAAAGCCCTCATTTATGTATCCAAGATAATCGAAGTACTTTTCTCCCTTATATATTGATTTATCGAGCAAATATATTTATATTGCTAGATAAATCAATATATAATTATCTTGGATAAGTAAATGAGGGCTTTTAAGGAGACTCAACTATAGTTCTTACTTAACACCTCTAATCCTGATATACATTTATATGTAAGTAAGAACCACAGCAGGTGAGGTGGTTGTATTTCTGTTCCATGTGAGTGTTTCAGGGTATGTGTTTCAGATATGTTCAGGAAGAGATAGAAACTACCCATTATTTGTTTTATTTATACAGTGGCTTATGTGATATTCTTGATTTATCTGTTTTTATATGTCACTTACTGAAATATCTCCATTTTTCTAGGCTAGCTATCAAAAGATGTTCTGTCAATATGGTAAATGAAAAAAAGAGCCATCASATGTCTCTAGCAACGAGTCAGCTGTCTCATGTACTGTGAAAGAGCCATAGACAGTGTGTAAACAAATGGACATAGTTGTGTTCTCTTAAACTTTATTCATGAGAACAGTTAGCTGACTCCTGATAGAAGTACTTACTTTCATTATAGAATATAGCTTCTTCAATCACACATTTCTTCCATAGTTTTTCTAAAAATAAATATACCAAAATTGTTATATATTAAAAATAATAAAATTAAGAGAATCGAAAGGTCCCTACATTATTATCCACCCGCTCCTCCTTTTAAGTGTATTATGTGCTATTGGAAGGGAAAGCTCACCTCCTTAGTGAAAGAATCCAATCACACTCTTGCCTCAGGGTCTTTGCTCTACCTGATACACATCTGAAACACAGGTCATTCTTTTTTGTCTAGATTTGTGCTAATATAGCACTGTATCCAGTGCTGATCATAATACTGATGGCATTTGCAAAACAGACATGTTTGTATTTTTTAAAAAATCAGCTATATGCCGTTCATGCCTGTGTTGGATCTTAAACAAAGTGAAGCACTTTATAAATGCTTGTTTGGAGATATATGGTAGACTTTTCACAAAGAAATAGATCTTAATGAATCACCACATCATAATGACATATTTGGAATCAGGTGCAATCAAAGATCTAAAAGTGAAGTTCAAGGTATTCTCAAGTAAAAAAAAAAATCCATTCAGCCTAATATGCTTGGTAGAAAAGTTAGGCAGGTTTATTGGCTATACAATATAGCAAGGATGAAAACTTCAGTTTAAAAATTCATAATTTGTCTACACTGGCTTTTCTTCTAGCTGATGAAATTTCAGGAACTTTCACTGAATGAAAGTAACAAATGCCTGAGAACCCAGTAAAGTTACTGATTGGCTTGGAAATATTTACGTGTGTCCTAGGATAAGAAGACACATTTACAGGGCAGCTATTATGAAGACAAACAACAACATGTGTTGGTGAGGATGTGGGGAAATAGATACGCTGATATACTGCTGATGGGACTGCAAATTGGTACAGCCAATATGGAAAGCAGTATGGAGATTTCTTGGAAAATTGGGAATGGAATCACCATTTGACCCAGCTATCCCTCTCCTCAGTCTGTACCCAAAGGACTTAAAAACAGCATACTATAGGGACACAGCCACATCAATGTTTATAGCAGCACAATTCAAAATAGCTAAACTGTGGAACCAACCAAGATGTCCTTCAATAGATGAATGGATTAAAAAATGTGACATACATATACAATGGAATATTTGCAGTAAAAGAGAATAAAATCATGGCATTTACAGGTAAATGGATGGAGTTAGAGAAGATAATGCTAAGTAAAGTTAGCCAATCCCCAAAAAACAAATGCCGAATATTTTCTCTGATATAAGGAGGCTGATTCATAGTGGGGTAGGGAGAGGGAGTATGGGAGATATAGACAAACTCTAGGTAGGGCAGCAGGGTTGGAGGTGAAGAGAGGGGGGCATGGGGTTAGAAATGATGGTGGAATGTGATGGACATTATTATTCAAAGTACATGTATGAAGACACAGATTGGTGTGAATATACTTTTTGTACAACCAGAGATATGAAAAATTGTGCTCTATATGTGTAATAAGAATTGTAATGCTGTCACATATAAATAAAGAAATTTTTAAAAAAGAATAAAAAAAGAAGACACATTTACAATGATGTTGCTGTACTGTCACCAGTATCATTTCTGCCAAATCTGTGGTCTTTCTGTGAATGCATGAAGAAGAGATTTCTGAGTATCCACAATAACATAAGACAGCATGGGAGGTGGGAAAATTTCGTAGTGAGTGTTCATCTCAGTGCTATCAAACATAGAAGAAATATATCAAATCATAGAAGAACTTCAGAAAAGAGCAGTGCCACATAGAAAATGAATGTGAACATATTCTCTGAGAGCTATACTTTAAAACAACAGTCTTCATCATGTGCAAGACTTCAAAATAGACTTMATGATTATGAAAGTCTTCTAGATCCTATGGACTACATATGTGCAGTTGCCCATAATCTATCTTTGTAATGTGTATTTTCATGATGATTTTTTTCTCTTTTTCCATTCCACTATTTTAAGTTAACATCATTATTATATTTTTAGTATTCACTGTCCTTTGTATTTCATCTTCATATGGTTTATAGTATTGGACGTCAAAATTTTGTGAAGATTTTTAGATAACTAATTCATTTTACACAGTTTTTTTTGCAAGTTTGGCTTTGCAAAAGTGCATTAAAACATTATTGACTTTGTATATAAGCATTGCAAGTTTGTAAAAACCTTGAAACTTCCTCAGTAAATGAATTGATGTCCTTTTTTATACATGTGCATTTGTGAAAAATGTTTCTTGAGATTGTAGCTTTTGGGTGACTACATATGTGTTTGTGTGACCCATCCTGGTTTTTGATTGATTTCATCAAAGATTGAGATTGTTCATGATGGTACTTCATATGATTACAGTTATAAAACTGTGTGCACATAAATACTAACTATAGTGGTATATATATCTTTTGCTTTTTAAAAAATATGGTTTTAGTTGTTGATGGACCTTTATTTTATTTATTTGTCCATATGTGGTGCTGAGAATCAAAAGCAGTGCCTCACACATGCCATGAAAGTGCTCTGCCACTGAGCCACAACCCCAGCCTGCCTTTTGTTTTTAACCTATTTTTTATGAATGTTTGTCTGTTTACATCAGTTATACCTGTACAACTTTACTTAGTATACCTGAATGCTTATGCTAATAAAAATGTTTGTTATTGTTGCCTATATTATTGTGTAAAGTGGCATTTGATGTGTTCTGTCATGATATTGTTTCTTAAATCATTTAAAAAAGTAATATCTTTTTAAAGAGTTAAAAATTTTTTAGAATTATATTTTTGGGATTTTGGTCCTTCAGGATCTTATACCTTAGGAATTTTGATCATTCTGGATTTCAGTACTTGAGTTTTTTTTTTTTTTGAGATTATGACTCAAATCTCATATTTCAGTGCAGTCTTCCTCCACCAAATAGTTACCAAATGCATGGTAACTCCCTATTTCCRTGCATGTTCTTGCCTTAAGCTTGCCTCTTCCTATCTTTAAGCCTCTGCTTTCTACCCCTACCCTTGCCCCCAGCACTTGGTACTCTCTGCCATGCTGTATATGTTTTATTTAGTCATCCATATTCTGTCTTCATTCATATGACTGTCACATATGAGGGCAGACACTTGTTTGTTTTCATCAGTGCTTTAAGCCTAGGGATTAAAATAGTCCCTGGMATTTAATATTTAAGAAAAATTGTTAAAAAATGAATGAATGAATGAATGAAAGCCTATTTGTACCACTAATCAGAGCATTTTTGTTTACAGAATTAATAATTTTACATTTATATTTCAGGAGCAGAAAACAATTCTTCCTTCAAGGCATGCAGTTACTGAAGTAATAGAAGACTTTCTCTGCAATTTTCTGATCAAAATGGGAATGACCAGAACTCTTGATTGCTTTCAATCTGAATGGTAAACAATTTTGTGGGTAAATAGTTCTCTAGAAATGGTAATAGCATTTACTGTGTGCATATTCAACTGCCTTGAAAGACTGTGAAGTGATGCAATTTACACAGATAGAAACCTTTCCTATCTTCACCTTTGAAACTACAGCAGACACTCATATAAACATGTAAGTGCACAGATACACAATCTTGTATAGTTGCCAAGAAATTTTATTAAACATCTTTCTAAAATATTCAAATTTAATTATCTTTAAAAAATATTAAGAAAATTGAATATCTCCTGGAGTTAAATAACAAAAATATTTTTATGAAATATTTTCCTACTGTTTTTGTTTAATTTCTAATGGTGTTGTCTCCTACACTGACATTCTGTTAACAGTACTACATTGCTTGCTTTATGAATTGTTAAACACCTGCCTTTCCCATCTTATGTACCTGATTCTTTTTGAATGTATAGTCTTTCCTTTAGAAGTATGGGGCATTGTATTTTCAAATATTATCTAAAAATAAGACTTTTTCTGTTATAATTGAAAATTTAAGTAACTTATTGATTATGAAAATCAGCAGGCATGCAGTTTTATTCCTTTGCTATAACAATAAGGTCACCAGGCATATTTTTGAATTCCTGGCATTCTTTAAAATAATACTATTAAATGACTGGATTTGAAATATTTTTGATTTTTAATAATCATTGTATGTTGTAGAAAGAGAGAAATAGAATATGTATATATAAGATATATATAGATTAATCTATACTGTTTTGGATTAAATCCTGATTTTTAAATGTTGAGGTAATTTGCAATTTTTACTAATCTGGCTGTGATATAATTCTAATTTTATGTTTTTTTCCCACCTCATATACTGAGAACATGCATATAAGAATAATTGGTTTCATTATTTAATCATATTGAATGTGAATAAATTTAATGAGAACCAATTTTTATTAATACAATCTAATAAAAAAATTGAGATTGGTGGTAGAAAAATAATACTGCTTATTTTAAAACTGCAAGTTGTGTGAATGAAAGAAATAATGAAAGATATATTAGAAAGATATATTATAGATATATTAGAAAATACACTTTTATAAATGTATGTCAGTGATTAATTTGCAAGTGATTAAATGAGAAATTAATATGATTCAATTACTTTTTTGTCTTCTAAGAATGTGGGTTAGGAAGCATGGTACTTAACTTGTTAGGCCAGTGTGAAGTGTGAAATGATTCCCTTAGAGAAATATCCATCCAAATAGACTTTTAGTAATTAGATAATTGTTATCAACCTTTAAAATTGATCACTCTGAATTGATGAGATGACATTTTAGAAAACTATGTGATTACTGGGATGCAGTGTGATGTTGCAGTTAGAAGGTAACAATTATGTACTGTGTCTTTTTATAATATAGGTTTAGTAATATTATAGTTAAGATAATTTTAACCTTATCTCTAGCTGCTAGTTTAAATCCCTAGCTTCTATATCTATAATGTATTGGATAATTATTTCACATGAAACATTTTCATTTTTATCAGAAACCTTTTCCTGTACTATGGGATATTTATGTATTATTTTCATCATTTTTCTTACTGTAAAAACCACTAGTATATATCTTTGCTTTGAATTCACTTGATCTTGCAACAGGAAACCAAACAATGTTTTCCTGTTGTTAATTTGTGAAAAGCAAAAGAAAACAAAAAACTGGGCAGTAAACTTTGACTTATGTCTTTCAATTCTCAAGTAGTAAATCCTTTAAGTCCTGAGTCAGAAAACTAAGCCCCTTTGGCCAAATCTGGCCTGCCCTCCTGATTTCGTAAATAACATTTYATTGGAATATAGCCATGATCTATCTTTTAGGTATTTGTCTGTGACTGTTTTCATGCAACAAAAGAAAAGGTAACTAGTCACAACAGGGACTATGTAGCCTGCAAAGCAGTTTTTGCGATTTCTAAAATATTAAATTTCTGGCCCTTTTCAAAAAGAGTTTTCAATCCCTGCCTTTTATAATATATATGTGAATGTATTAGGAATTTGCTCTATGAATCACCAAAACATTTTCATTCTGGGGTTAGTCAATGCTATTTTTATGTCTATTTTAGGAATACTCTATGGAGAATGGTAATTTACCTTGGAGGAGGGCAAAATCAAAGAGCAGCATATGTCAGCCACCTCCCTTCCTAACTGGACTATTCTTCTGGCTGTTAATGTGTTCAGTATTCATTCACTCTTAATGTACATTCTTGGCTCTTCTTTGCCTTTCCCTTTTATTAGCATACTTTCTCTGACTCTCTCTTTCCAGCTAATGCTTTGAAAACAGAGTTTTTAATTTAGTCTTTCTTTATTTTTTGATTAATATTTTCATCCTTGGTTCTTTCTAATTTGGCCTCTTTTCCTACCATTTCAGTGAAGGTAGGGTGTTAGTAAAAATTCTATCAAAGGTAATAGGATGATTATTTATAACATTTAATTACTAATTTAATTTACTTATTATAGAAGAGACTGTAAATTAAGAATACTTTTTTTAGTTTATAAAGATATATGTTGCAGCTTTCAGCCAATAAAAATTGGCATAATATATAATTATCCAATTGTGGGCAGTATAGTTACAATTTTCTAGGGATAGTGAGGTAACAAAGGCGGAGCCTAGAATTAAAACTTCTGTTGAAAAAGCCCTTACATTCCCAGTATTATAGGAAGTATATGTGGTGTTTTGTATAGATTACTGACTCAGTAAATACTACACAACTACTTGTTCTGTCATCATTTAAATCTATCAATGTTTCTTCAGTTGATGAATTGGCTTTTGGTTATGTGTCACTTAAGAACTAAACACAGGAATGTTCTGACTCTTCTGTCATGTTAACTTGTAATTGTATTGTAATATGCTAAATTTGAGCCATGTAAATATATTTTCATATATTTATGTACTGTGATATCAAGAAGGTAGCCTTGTAGGTGAATATTAAGCTTAAAATCTAGAGTAAAAATACTAGAGCATTCATTAAATGTGAAGGGTTTAAAATACTAAAAGATAAAGCCTCAGGCTTATCACTCAAAAATTTACTTTGTATTATTTTATTGATATAGTGTGTTCTTATGCATTATTTCACATTTCTCCCAACAATTATATGTAGCAGATAGCTACTAACATATCATCAATTTTATGGATGATGAAATGGTAAACTCATTCATCACTAGGACATCTGCCTTAGTAAATGTCAGCAAGTGGCAAAGTCAACTCAAGCTAGATGCATCTTAGAGACTATTCTTCTAACCACAATGCTATATTGTAGAATTGTACAAGGGAGACTTGAAAAAAAAATGAGAAAGATGCTTTCCTGTTTGACAAGAGACAAAAAATTTAAGAGATGTCTTGATTTTAGAGTTCAGATTTGTGCCTATTTTCCATGTTGGCCTGAAGAATCATAGTAGTTGCATTGAACTTTTCAAATGTACTATATATGTTTCCTGTGAAGGGCCATCTCTCATGGAGTTGGCAATTCCAATATACTTAGTTTTAGCAGTAATTAAGAGATTTTTGCCTTTGTTGGTAAAATACTTTCCTAACTCTGAAAACAAGAGAAAAAATTCTCATTTGATGCTTCTGTTTAAATGACCTTTTCCCTATTTTTTATAACCTATGTTGTATCATAGGTTATATATCCTGCCTAGTCTGACACTGTTTATATCTTTGCTGGTATTTTATCATGCTGTCTGTCTTTTGTTGTGGTGATCTAAAACTCTTTGGTATGTACACAAATATTACAAAAACTCTAATTTCTCATGAAAATGCATACCTACTCTCCATTTACATATAATTTCAAGTAGTTTATAGACTTATGGTAAATACAAAGCAGATTAATGTAATTTTATTGACAGTTTTGTTAGGAATAAATTTTGTTTTCTAATAGTTATAACAATCTTTTTCTACATGAACATTTTTTTCAGTCTTATTCTAATGACGAGAGAATAAGGAAGAAATAAAAGGGCCAGGGTATTTCTTTTTTTATTTTTATTTTTTCTAATTAGTTATACATGACAGCAGAATGCATTTCAATTCATTGTACACAAATGGAGCAGCACCTTTCATTTCTCTGGTTGTACACGATATAGAGTAATACCACTCCTGCATGTCCATCTCATTCCATCATCTTTCCTATCCCCAAGCCTCATTCCCTCCCCTTACTCCCCTCTGCTCAATCCAAAGTTCCTCTATTCTTCCCATGTTCCCCCTGTGCCCCGCCGACCCCCCATAATGGATCAGCATCCACATTTCAGAGAAAACTTTTGGCCTTTGTTTTTTTGGGATTGGCTTATTTTGCTTAGCATGATATTCTTCAGCTCCATCCATTTTCTTGCAAATGTCATAATTTTATTCTCTTTTAATGCTGAGTAATATTCCATTGTGTATATATATACCACAGTTTCTTTATCCATTCATCTACTGAAGGGTGTCTAGGTTGGTTCCACAATTTAGCTATTGTGAATTGAGCTGCTATAAACATCCATGTGGCTGCATATGTAGTATGCCAAGGTTATTCCTAAAAATAAAACTGCAGATGGTTATCATTATACAAAATACATGTATGAAGATGTGAATTAGGTGTCAACACACTTTATATACAAACAGATATGATAAATAGTGGTATAAAGGTGTATTAAGAATTATATGCCAAAAAAATAAGAGAGCTCATGTATAATGGCATAATTTGGTGTGAACATACTTTATATACAGGGTTACAAAAAATTGTGCTGTGAATGGATAAATATGAATGTAATGCACTGCACTATTGTCATGTATGTAAGAAATAAATAAAAAATTGAATTGTAAAAAATAAAATAAAATAAAATAAAACTGTACATACATGCAAAACCAAAACAAAGCTAAAAATCTTGGGAGAATGTAGGATGTTTTTAGAATTGTATTTCTGGAGTTTGAGATTAAATTTTCTAACTGCTTATAGTGACTTTGAAGTCTTAATTCTTCTTCTTTCATGCATGGAAGAAATTTTGTATGATGAATGACTTCTGAATGCCCTATGATAAATGTCATATGTTTGATTTTTGCTTCTCTTACCACATTTATTTTATTTACATGATATTTAATTTAGAGGGCAACTGTTAAATAGCTTTTTGTCCTCACAGATATAATTTCATTAGTGATTTTTTTTTATTTCTGCACTACATAAAAGCAAGATGCTAAAAACCAATTTTATGGTTAGAAAAACTTTGTGGTCTAGTACTTCAGTCAACCTCTATGTCTTCTCTTTTGAGATAAGTATAAATCACCTTTCAAAAACAGATAAAATATTGAATTTATGATTAAATGGCTACCTATTTTTTAATAAATTGTGGTAAATAGTACAATATATTGATGTAACTATTTTAACCTTCAGTGTATTGTATAGGAGTCTTTTTGCAGGTATTTTATTATCAGATGGGATAAATATCATAAAAATAGAGAACTACTTATTAAAATTTAATGTGAATTTATGGTTTGTAATATGAAAATACTAATTTAAAATATTTTGTTACTTAGCTTACCTATAATAACCTTTGCTTTGTTAATACCTTTATTATGTAAATGTTTTTCTATGTTGTTTGTTTTTTTATTTAGCTTTATCGATTGTTGCATATAGTGATTATAATTCTTTACAATCTATCAATAATTCTCTGATGTTTCTTTTTAGTGTATTAAGGAAAAAGGAGAAAGAGTAGCACCTCCCCCTTTAACCACCTGCTGCTGTGTCTTCAGGCCTTCTTTCTTCTTACCTATCACAGATGATGAAGGTTGTTGTCTGTGTCCTGCCCTGTTCTTATTCACTGTATTCTAGCTCCTCTCATCTACTCAAGGACATTATCCCTCCTGTATTTGTCTCTCTCTTTCTTATTATTTTTGTTCCTCTCTTCTGGGTCATTCCCATAAGCTTGTTGATGTGTAATAATATCTCATACATTCTAAAAAAAAAGAAAAACGAAGCACCTGAACTTTATTACATCCTCTTTGAAGTTCATCTTAATTTCCTAGTCAATACTTTAATGGCTTGTTTCCTTGAAAAACTTTGTTGCCACTTTCTTATTTCCCAACCCCTTTTATCCCAATGCTCAGCTGAGTAAATGTTTTTTTCAGTGACTTTCACATTGCCAATTCCAGGTATTTGATTCTCAGTACTCTTTCAAACTCCTAACAGCATTGTCACCAGTGTTTGATTCTTCCTTATTCAAACATTTCTCCACCTGACCCTTGCCTGCAGCTATCTCATAATCTCGTACTACTTCACTGACCTCTCTTTCTTTTGAATTCTTGTGGTAGTTTTCAACTTTGAAATGATGGAGTGTTTTATGGGTCATCCTGGGACTTCATCATTTTTCTTGTTACATTCACTGTCTATCTAGTCTTTTCTAGTCTCATGAGTTTAAGTAGCATTTATATACTGATGATTCTTATATTTAAATTGCCTATTTTGACGTTTTCCCTGAACTCTTGACATGTATATCTAACTTTTAGACATTTTACCTTTACCATAAATGGAAACAGTTCCTTGATTCCTCCAATCACCCATCCTTACCTCTTTTGTCCCCACTTAGTAAATGGCTGTGTGTTGCATAGACCAAAACCTTGAAGTCATCCTTGACTTCTCTCCTTTTCTAATATCTGACAACATTCATCAGAGAATCCTGCTAGTTCTACCTGGACAGCACTTCTTATAACCTCAACTGCTATCCACTTTGTTCAGCTCAATATTCTGTCTCTCCTGGACTATTGCTGCAGCCTACTAATTAGTCTCTGATTCAATGCATTCTCTTCTCCAGTCTGTTTCATCCAACTTACTCATCTATCTATAAAATAAATCTGATCAGTGTTACTTGTTTCAAATCCTTCCCATGGCTTCAATCTGATTCAGAGTAAAATCTCTTTCCTTATTATATACCATGATGGTATTAGTACCTAGCAATTCATTAATACTTTGTTTTAACAATATATTATGAATGTTAACATTTTAATTTATAAATGTAATATGGCAACTAATTACCATAAAATTCACCGAGACTTAATTTTTTAAATTGCATGTGAGTTAAAGTAATTTAGTGGAGAGAAATGACAAAATCGTTTGTTTGATTTTTTCTAGGTATGAGTTAATACAGAAGGGGATAACTGAACTTAGAACTGTTGGGAGTGTTCCAGATGTCTACACTCAGATTATGCTTTTAGATAATGAGAACAAAAATTTGAAGAAAGACTTAAAGCACATCAAACAGGCAGCTGAGTATGTTATTTTTAAATGACTATTTTTTTTCCTTTTCATTTTAGACTAAATAAAAATGAGTTGAATAGAGTTGATGTGTAATATATGAGAACTTTTATTCTGGAGAGCTGAATTATATTTAAATTGTAGTTCTAAAAAATGTGAAAAGCTTTACTAGCAAATTAATTAAACCAGATGACCAGAATTCTCACAACTGAAATTCACTGACAGAGTAGAATGCAGAGTGTTGTGTAGGAGATGTTTAAATTTGCTATAAGTCACTTCCCTTTGTACTTGACAATCTTTTTATAGCTTGTAAAATTTTCTTCCACGAAGATAAGTTAATTTCTGAAATAATAATGAAATTCTAAAAAACAGAGTGGAAGAAAGGAGCTAGTTTGTTCTTAGTAGAATAATTTAGATATTTGAAAAATCCCCCAAAGGAATAATGTAAGCCATGGACTTAGGGATGRTAGATTATCAGATGTAACAAATATACCATTTTGGGTAATGTTGAAAATGGGGTAGGCTATGCATGTGTAGGGATAGAAGACATATGAGACATCTTAGGATCTTCTGATTAATTTTTATGTGAACCTAAAACTGCTTCAGAAATATTATATTGACATGAGTGAAATTGATTAAATTGTATTTATATGTATAAATATGCTCTAATGAAACTCACCATTCTGTATGATCAAGATTGTTGCATGAAGAAAAATGAGAGAGAGAAAAATTAAATATCTATAATCTTACTCACCTGGCCAACTATTGTTTCCATTTTATTTATTTATTTTTTGGGGGTGCTGGATATTGAACTCAGGGCACTTGACCACTGAGCCATATCCCCAGCCCTATTTCGTATTTTCTTTTGGGGGAGGTTCTCACTGAGTTGCTTAGCYACCTTGCTTTTGCTGATGCTGGCTTTGAACTCTTCATCTACTGCCTAAATCTTCCAAGACACAGCCACTGTTTCCATTTTCTTAAACAGCTCTTTGAACTTTTCTCAGTGAATGTGCATATATATGTAAATACATTTATGTATGTATGCATATATATATATATATATGTGTGTGTGTGTGTGTGTGTGGGTAACTTTTAGATAAAGTTGGAATAATGCCTTATATTTTGTAACTTTTCATTCAATAAAAATGATAAACATATTTTTATGAACACAGATTTTATTCTAAAAACTTTAAAAAAATTTCTGAAAGGAAATCTTTTTTTTTTTTTTTGTAATTTCCTGACAAATTTATGTACAGAGGAGAAACTTTTCAGAAGCCAAATTTTTCCACATTTTTTTCCTCCTAAAGTTAATGGAAGACAAGTAGTTTTGGGGAACAATAATAGATAGATAGTACTATTCTGGCAAAGAAATATGTGAATATGTTGACAGGGGAGAATTTACTCATGTGAGCCAATGTTATATAAAAAAATCATTGCTTACATATGGAAGAAAGCTCATTATTCATTCATTCATTTTGATTAAACATTTAAGATGAGGCTTTCTCTGTTCAAGAATCACATTTATGCTAAAACTACCTTATCATGACATATATTATAATTATATATTTTTAAGATATATGATAAATATTTAATGAAAAGAAACATGACTGAATTGCAAAATAAAGTAAGCATTTAAAGTAAGCTTCTACTTTTAAAATGTATTAGTACATGAAAAATAATTTCTATGATTATGTATTCAATTATTAGGAATGTATAGAAATGTTTTTGCCAGGTTTGTTTTTGCCCAGTATATATATTTTATATTATCTGTGGATGTGCTATGTAGAATTTTATATTTTATATAGTTTTGTATGAATGATTCACCAAAATATGTTTCTAGAACTATTATTCCCTCTATTGTTGGTTCCATATTTCATAAGTGGTCTACTCTTTGCTTGGACATTACAGCAGTTTTGAATAGGTACCTCGTGAGTATACTAGAAATTTGACAGAACATTTTCAACAGTGATGCCTCGCATACTGTTTTAATTCCTCATTTCCTTTGAATTATGGCTTGAGTTTGCTAGTTTTCTTTTGGAGAGATACAGACTCTTTATGTAGTGCGTTTTACCACTGTAGTATTAAATAATCATTGATTGCTGGATGTTTATTGAATACTGCATTTGAAAATAACAATCAAAATTATGTAAACTATCACTCATGCAAATTATTACTTTAATGTTAAAAGAAGCCATAATTAGAACAGTTGCCATTCAATTGACATTTTGCTTGTTTGCTAAAATATAAAATTATAATTTTTATTTCAGTGGTTCATGTTTATTCCTTAATTTTTATCTCATTCAGTATATTTAAAATCCTAACAAATTAGAAAATGAAAATATGTATTTGCTTTAATCTACCTGACATGGTAGATTTGAAGGAAAGCGGCTTGACTCTTAAAGATGTTTGTTACTTTGTTGAGTGAATATTAAGCATGATAAAGTACATCTCATTACTTTTGGTGAAGTAACCTGATACATTCTCAGAAAATGTAGAATGAAATTTTGTAAAAAGTTTCCCAAACTATGTCTTACCATGCTACAAGCTGCTCCAAATTGTAATGTTTCAACACCCAGGATTTTCAATTTGACATATGAGCATATTTTTCCAATAGCAGTTAGTGATAAATATGATTCTCTTGATGGAATTTGATCAATATTTGCCATTTTAGAATTGGGCTGTTTCTTAAGATAATTTTATAAGTACAATATTTTAGAAATATTTAATATTTAAAATGCAAAAAGAGTTAGTTTACAGATATGTCATATATTATCCTAGATTGTACTGGTAGCATTTAATGAACTATTAAGAAAACTGAATAGAAATTCATAGCTATAAATTTAGTATGCATCTGAGAGAGAGAGTAACCATAGAAAGAGTAATGAACATAACTACCTAGCTTCTAATATTCTGCCACTTATTAACTCAGTTTTCTTATTGTTAAACTGGGATTAATTATGGGTAACATTATTAAGTCCTAGAGAATGATGTGATAATTAAATGAGACAATCTATGTTAAAGAGCTGTGTGAAATTGCAAAGTGCTTTGAAATGTCACTTATTACTATCAATATCTCTAAAGGTTGTCATCCTTGGTTTTAAAAAAGTTGTCACATCATTAATATTTTTGAAGTTCAGCAATAATGGAGCATGGGAGAAGAAATAAAAGAGGAAATATTTCATGCTAAAATATCATTTGAATTTCTGTAATTGATTTGAGGGATTGTCCATGGTATAAGTATTCTCAATTTCTGAGCAATAGTGTTTCCCCTTATACTTGCTACAAATAAAAATTTTTACCTAAAATACTAAATTTGGGAAATAATTGTTGAGAAATGTTTTTTACAGTTTATTTAAGGAGAAAATTATTACTAGAAAAGATTTATTGTTATAGCAAAGGCAAAAGGATATTACATTTTGGATACTGGTAAGTTATAAGTGATATGTGATACCCTTTCTTGCAAAAGGAGAGTATAACTTCAGTTTCTAATGAAACATGGACTAATTGTTTTCTTAAATGCAGAAATCTAGGAGTAAAGTGATCAGCCTCACATATGCAGAGAATTAGTGATTGGATGAAAACTAGAAAATATAATTAGAATTCTAATATCTTTCACAATTAAGGCAATACTTCATAAACTTTATTTGAAAATTGATATACTAAAAGATTCAGATTAGTCTGAGGTCCATAAGTAACTACTTTGAATTTTAATTAGAAACCTGTTTGCTTGATCTTGTTGCCTAATTTCATTTACATTTTATGTCTTTTTCTTATAAGATAGACAATGTGCATAAACTGAGTTTGATAACTTCTGAAAGAGCCCATGTACTTGTTCTTTAACTTCCTGTAGTATGGCTTTCATATCACCTTTTCTCACATGGCTTTCTTGAACACTGAAGTACTCTTTGCTGATGAATATAGAAGTCTCTTTTCCTTTTTTGTGTTCTATTTTTTTCCCTATCTTCTCTCATCCTCTGTGGCAGCATGCTGTTCTGCCCCTCTTTCTACCTTTCAATAGGCTCCTTTTACTTTTCTTGCCTCCACATTGTTTATACTCTGTTAGTCCAATAAGATAACCACTGACCAACCACATGTAGATATCAACAAACTTAACAATTACCCATGGTAATTGCTAGGAAGAAAAGTAACATAGGCAAAAGAGACAGAGGTCAGTGGGGGTGCTTTTCCATGTAGGGTGGTGGAGGAAGTCCTCTTAGATATCTGAAGAGACTATGGGAGAAGGCCATGCGTAAATTGGGGAGATGGAGTTCTGGTCATGGTAAATAAAGGGAAGTGTAAAGAATATGTAGTTTGGGGTTGGGGTTGTGGCTCAGCGGTGGAGCACATGCCTAGCATTCGAGGCTCTGKTTTGATCCTCAACACCACATAAAGATAAATAAATAAAATAAAGGTATTGTGTCCAACTACAATTAAAAAAATAAATATTTTTTAAAAAGAATATGTGGTGGGGACAACTTACTTTGCTAGAAGAGAGTTAGCATGGTGGCCATATTGGTTTCACCAAGTGGGTTAGTAATAGGTGTCTTTGATAGAACTTTGCTTTTTTTTTTTTCTTTCTTTGAGTGGCATATGAAGCTAAGGAACGATTTTGAGTAGAATCATAATGTGAGCAGGCTTCTGCATGGAAAATAGACTAGGTAGAAGGACATTATGGAAACAGGGAGAACAGTATATTTGGCATAACCTTATGGATTGACTTAACTGGTTAACTGCATAGTAATAATTAAATCAGGCAAGCTTCATATGGGACAATTAGGTTCTTTCAAGGACAACACTTGCTGACATTAATCTCTGCATTATGCCCCCATGTAAACTTTGGTTCAGAACAGATGACTAATCAGGTATTGTGTCTAGAATAACACAACTACTTGATGTTTTGCCATTTATTAAAGAGAAGAATTTAATTATTATTCAGTTTCCTCATGTGTAAGTGGGTAGTATTTTCTACCTTTTGTGTAGTACAGTGTCTGTCACATAATAAGTACTCAATAACA